TCAACCCAATTAAATTTCTCAATTCATCTCCACTCGTATCAACGTGATCTCCGTCTACCGTGCTTGCTATCCCCAAATTCTTGTTATTCATTATATTCATCACCTATCTTCTTCAGCTTTTTGAGCATTTGAACAAGAAATTTAGTTTCCATATTATCTACTTTGAAACCTTTATAATATTTAAAGAAAAAAGAAAGGTATTTTTGAAAATCTCATGTACATTAGTCCTTTTATTGTTGAATATAGTATGAAATAATATTTTAACTATTTTTTATCACAGTTGGTGTATTTCTGTACTGTCCGCAAATATTGGATGAACTGTAGTACATAACGACACTCCAGTCGTTTTACGTAGTGTAGAACGACACACAGTCATTATCTTCCTTGTAAAATGACAATACAAACATTCTCTGTTATGGTATGTCCGTTTTTGATAATACAATGTGGTTACTTTGATAATTTAAATATGATAGCTATTTTCATATTACTTTGATATATACTTGAGTAAACTGTTTAACTTTTTTATTTTATTTGCAGCTATGGATTCTGTAGAAATGATATGAGTACATGTATGCTACTTTGTTGAGTTTAAAAAGATTGAAAAAGACAAATGGACATGGAGTTATGTAGGGAATATTGAAGAAAATTTGGATATTCTTTATGATCCAACTAGCAAGGTGATACGACCGTTGACACGAAGAGGAAGTAGACGTCCACCAAAAAAAAGGAAACAATTAGCCGGAGAGATGCACAAGTCTGGTAAGTGTAGTAGGTGTTTGAAAATTGGGCATAACCGTATCACATGTACAAATCGTGTACCACTCAGTGAGAGACATGAACGATGAAGACAAGACGACACATATGAGGCTTTTATAGTGTCATGATATCCCGTTTTTGTAAAATTGAAAAATGATGGTGGTATTATATTACGATGTACTACTTTTATAATTTTGAAAAGAAAACTACTTATAATGTTTGGAACGAATGATTGTGCCATTGTCTTAGACTCGATGAAACTAGAACGGCAATTATGATTTTTTTTTTGTTACACTAAAACGTCATTGGTGCTGTACGACACTTATGTTGTTTTCAGAACAGTAACGACAGTTGTGTCGCTTTCTTTTTCATGTCGAATAATTATTGAGCATATCTACCCTATGTTGTAAGAGATATGTCCATCTTACAACTTAAATGAGTTCATCTAATCGAATATCGTGGCTCGGATGGGTCAGGGCACTCTGTACAAGTGTTTTCAAGCAGAACGGCACAAGTGTCGTTTTATCGACAGTAACGGCACTTGTACCCTCTCATGGGAATTTATTTACACAACATAACGATACTTGTGCCGTTCTAGCCTAACGACCTCACAAATTGGACTCACTAACTTAAAAAGGTTGAAAATGTTGATTATGTGACAACTAACAGTGGAATTGATGTAGAATATATGGTATTTAAAGGTGAAATCACACAAGCCTACATTTATTTTGTTGGAAAATATAAGCATTGAGCATATCTTTCCTACGTTGTAAGAGGCATGTCCATCCTAAAACTTAAATGAGTTCATCTAATGAGTTCATTGTGGATCGGATGGGTCGTAGCGCTCTGTACAGGTGTTTCTAGGTAGAACGGTACAAGTGCTGTTAAACGACACTTGTGTCGTTTTGTTGATTTCATCAATATTTTTCTACTTTTCCAGCCGAACGACCTCACGAATTGGACCCTCCAACTTAAGAAGACTGAAAATGTTGATTAGGTGACAACTAACGGTGGAATTGATATAGAATATATGGTATTGAACGGTGAAATCACACAAGCCTACATTGATTTTGTTTGAAAGTATGAGCATTGAGCATATTTCTCATACGTTGTAAGAGGCATATCCATCTCACAACTTAAATGAGTTCATCGTGGCTTGGACGGGTCATGACGCTCTGTACACGTGTTTCCAGGCAAAATGGCACAAGTGCCGTTAAACGACAATTGTGTCGTTTTGTTGATTTCATCAATATTTTTCTACTAAACTAGCTAAACAACCTCACGAATTGGACCCCCTAACTTGGGAAGACTGAAAATATTGATTAGGTGACAAGAATCACTATATCTATTGAATGTTGTAAGAGGCGTGCCCATCTTGCAACCAAAATGAATTCAGCTTATCGATTATCGTGGCTCGGAAGGATCGGGCTCTTAATACACTTGTTCAGAGGCAGAACGGCACTTGTGCCATTTTCTAAACAGTAACGGTAGTTGTGTCGTTTTTGTTTTTCTTTTTTATTAAGTAATGACCATATCTATTGAATGTTGTAAGAGGCATGTCCATCCTGCAACCAAAATGAGTTCAGCTTATCGATTATCATGGCTCGGAAGGATCGTGACGCTTAATACACTTATTCAGAGGAAGAACGAAACTTGTGTCGTTTTCTAAATAGTAACGGCAGTTGTGTCATTTTCGTCTTTCTTTTTGATTAAGTAATGACCATATCTATTGAATGTTGTAAGAGGCATGCCCATCCTGCAACCAAAATGAGTTCAGTTTATCGATTATCGTGGCTCAGAAGGATCGCGGCACTTAATACACTTGTTCAAAGGTAGAACGACACTTGTGTCGTTTTCTAAACAATAACGACAATTGTATCGTTTGCGTCTTTGTTTTTGATTAAGTAATGACCATATCTTTTTTATTTGCTTCCAATATAACGACCTCTAGTAATGGACACGTGATAAAGAATGATTGAAATGATATAAATTATAATGGACTCATATAAGTTAATAACGACACTTGTGTTGTTCTCAAGAGCATTTTTATCTCGGTAACGACACGTGTGTCGTTCTCATGGACTTTTATAAGTCCAGTAACATCATTTGTGTCGTTCTCATGGAAGCTTATAAGTCCTGTAACGACACTTCTATCTTTCTCATGACCGCTAATAAACATTTAACTTACATAATCTAGCTTGAAGAATATTTGTAATTTTATTTTCTTTAACAAAGATAAGAAACAATGAATTTTTCTTACACTTCTGGGTCATGGCTACTTATACTCATGTTTATAGACAAAATGACTTGTGTCGTTCTGTCGATTTCTCAAAAAATTTGCTACTTTTCCAATAGAACGACCTCAAGCATTGGATCCCCTAAGTTAAGAAGGTCAAAAATGTTGATTATGTGACAACTAACAGAAGAATTGGTATAGAATATATGGTATCAAATGGTGAAATTACAAGTCTTGATCTAAATTTGTTTGAAAGTATAAGTATTACGGTATCATTTCTATATTTTTTGTTACATGGTCATTTTGGGGTGCATTTTCAAATGTCACAGCCTTAACCTCATGATTATGATCAGCTAAAAATTGTAATTGAACTAGAAAGTTACCTGGATTTAGAGAATTCTTAGATTCATCATGACCTCGAAATGAATGTTCTTGTCTCAACAAAAATCAAACACAATCAATTGATGCAATAAGACGGACACGATGTTCATTTCTCATTTGGTCTGACTGCTTGAAGAAAACCGTTGGAATGTGGTGTTCTTGATTCATCAAAGCTTCACACTTAATGCGAGCTTGATTATGTGAACTATTATACTTTCCAACATGATTACCAAACCTCTTTTTATCTTTCCAATACGTAAATCTTTAACCAACAAATGAGTCGCCTCCACCTTATTTCACACTACTTGTTTTAAAAAGATAAAAAATACAAGTAAAAAGTTGTCTCTTTTGCCACACTATACTCCAACCAACCATCAAACTCGTTCAACTAAGAAGGATTAAATCGACTAGATTCTTTTTCTCCAGATTGTCTTTTCTTAAATTCATGGTCAAACGGCTGACAAGGACCATTTAGTATATATGCTCTTCAAACTTGATCTCTAATATTAGAATTGTAATTCAAGATTGGAGTCCTTAATCCAGGATCAGTGAGAAGTTGTGCAACATCAAAATCTTCTCCATTTGACATCTCCTCATTAACATTTTTCACAACCTCAAGAGTTTTTCTTTTATAAAATCTTTCCATAACTGACTGTTATAAATAGGAATCGAAATGTAAATAAAGAAAATAAAATATGGAATTTATAGTAAGACAATTACCTATTTATTAAATAGCATTACTTTACTTCGTTTCAAAATTTTCCCCAAACAGTCACAGCCACAGGAAACAGCAACAAGCCAACAACGCTTGTGGTTTATGCCTAATGGTTATTCTTATTTCCATTTTCCTCTAATACCGTATTTCCTCTTACCTCCAAAAATACCTATTGGTTGGCCCATCCGCATTGCAATTTGCATATACTCTACTCTCTACTGTCTACAGTCTCTAGCCAATACTCAATAGACTACAGCCAATACTCAATAGAAAACAATACTCAATAGACTACAGCAAATGCCAGATGATTGATGAATACGCATTGAAATTATAGAAATTAGAAAACTCACCTATAGTACCAGACAAACGTTGGATGCTGGGCTGGGCGTTTGGGCCTCGTTCTGTGGTTCAGGGGACGTACAAGTCTATCTGCGATGGTGCGCGACTGCACGGTGCATGGATGCAGACAGCAATGGCTGGCGTCGACTTGGATACAGGGGCTAAGGCATACGTATTCTTTGTTGATGCAGCATGTCGGTTTAATTGAATGTAAATCAAGGCTTGTATCTTTCCTATTTTGGGCCAAATAATCGGCCTACTTGTTTTTTTTTTGTAATGGGCTGTTGAAAAAAATTGGGGCGACCCAAAGCTCAGTGCAGGCAGATGGGCCTTAACTGGGTCCGCCCCTGATTATGAGTCCGATAATTGAGATGCTTACCAGTAACAGAATTCAATCAATCCCTAAGAGTATGCGAGGCCACAAGAAGAGCTAGAAGCATTGAAGATGTTTACGAGGAAGAAAAATGCGAGAAAGGTGTCGACAATAGATTTGCAGGGACTCAATAAGTGTGATTAACAAGTTTTAGAAAATGTCGTAAAGAAATAATCAAGACTGCTTGGGAATGAGGCGTTATGCACCTCGTCAACCATGGCATAATGGATAAGCTTATTGATCATGTTAAGACAATTGGAAAAGCGTTTTTCAACCATCCGGTGGAGAAGAAGGAGAAATATGCTAATGATCAAGCCTCCGGCAATGTTCAAAGGTATTGTAGTAAGTTAGCTAATAATGCCAGAGGTCAACTCGAGTGGCAGGACTATTTCTTCCATTGTATTTTCCTTGAGAAGAAGAGGGACATGTCCATTTGGCCTAAGACTCCAACTGATTACGTGTAGGTTGCATGTGTTTGTTATGTTTAAAACTTAATTTTTTAGTATTTGCATGGTCATGTTTAAAAGATATTTTTCAATGAAGTAGGAGACAATTATAACTTATGACCCACAATTTGCTTATTTTGAGTCACATAAATAGTGGACTTAATTACTTAAAAGCACATTTACTAACCAATCATAACACGTCATTCTCTAGTTTAGCATCAAGTTACTATGCAAAGAAAGTCAGAGGCTTAACTAGCAAATTACTATCATCACTCTCTTTTGGACTAAGGTTAGATCAATAAAGACTAGAAAAAGAAGTTGGTCACATGGAATCCCTTCTTCTTCAATTGAAGATAAATTATTACCCAAAATGTCCGTCGAAACTCGCCCTCAGTGTCAAAGCCTACACTAACGTCAGTGCTCTCACTTTCATCCTCCACAACATGGTGCCTGGCCTGCAACTCTTCTATGAAGGCAAATAGGTAAATGCAAAATCTGTACCTAATTCCATTATCATGCATTAGGAGATACGTTTGAGATTTTGTCCAATGGGAAGTATAAAAGTATTTTGCATATACGGCTCGTGAATAAGGAGAAAGTGATGATTTCTTGGGCAGTTTTTTTGTCGCCGAAGGAGAAGATTGTGCTGAAGCCGTCGCCAGAGAATGTTTCCAAGGTTGAGCCGCCATGTTTCCCACCCCATACCTTTGCTTACCATATCATGCATAATGTTCGGGAAGAGTGAGGATTTTGGAGAATAAAAATGAGTTGAAAAAATGGTTTATTTTCACACAAAAATAGCAAGTTCTTTTGCAAGTTTGAGCCTAAATGATGAATGGTTTTGTGTGTTCTTTATATGCTTTTGCCTTGTTCGATTAACAGTGATTTTTTTGAGAATGTGTGAATTAAAAATAGGAAAAGAATTTGAATTTAGGAGCAAATTATTTTATTGATGGATCAACGATTAAAAATGAGTTTGAAAAAAAAAATGAATTTTTGGACGATGAGGCTCAAATAGGAGCTCGTTTTAAATTGAGCTTCGAATTGATCCCATGTCCAAAAATTCATTTTCCTCTAACCTCATTTTCAATCATATATTACAAGTCGAAATGTAAACTAGTAGAGTCGAATCGACTCGACTCGCTAACCGAAGTACACAATTTGAGCATGGCTTGAATAAAAAGGGATCAAGATTTTTTGGCCCAAGCCGAGTTGAGCCGAAGCTCAATCAAAAAAATGGGGCTCAGCTCAAGCTTTCAGTTCATGCCTTTCTGAGGCAAGCCGAACTAGCTTTTTTCCCTGAAATTCTATATTTTAAAGGCAGTTAGCTTTAAAAAGGCAATTGTAGCTGCCTTATTCCCAAAGACACGGGCTAAATGACTCGTGTTGGTGTGGCAACACAGGCCGACTCTTATGGCTCAGTAAGCTACATGGGTCGGCTTAGGCTCCAACCATCACTTGAAAATGAGGCTCAACCCGATCCTTGGCTCGAATCAAACGAGCTGGGAATCTAGTCAGCGCGACCTTTTCTCGAGCTGCTCTAGCCGACAAGTCGGATTGACATCCCTAATTTCATGGGATCGCGAATTTTATCATTTTTTATTAAAATTTACTAAAAATCTAATTTTTAATTGAACCAAACAGGGGCGGAATAAAAAACAATTTGATTTCTTTAATTTGTTTAGTGGTAGACTATTTTAGAGCGTCTTAAAAATCAGAGATTTATATAAAAAATAAATAAAAAGATAAAAAAAGGTAATTTTTCCTTCAATTTTTTTCATTTTGAAATGTGATTTTGTCCTTTCATTGCTGTAGATTTAGAATGAAAAAGTGTAAAAATTGCATTTTTTTTATGATTCCATAGTTTATTTGTATATTTAGTTTAGTTTTAGTTGAGTTTTTTTTTTTTTTTTTGTGGATGGTTTTTTTATACATTTGGGGTTTTGAAGATGTTGGGTTAAAAATTAATTCATTTATTGGAATTGCTGTAATAAATTTTCATTTTTTTTTTTTTCCATTTTTTATTTTTATTTTTTTTTTTTTTTTTTTTTTGTTTTTTTTTTTTTTTATGTGGATGGATTTTTTATACATTTGGGGTTTTGAAGATGATGGGTTAAAAATAAATTCATTTATTGGCATTGCTGTAAATGGAAAATTGTGATATACAAATTTGCTTGTTCTCTGATATACCCTAAGACTTATAGAGTTGCACTATGGGTAATTTGATTTAAGTAATTTGGCGCTTCTCAGTAAAATTCTTCATATTATGCTTTACTATATTTCGTGATTTTCTGTGAGTCCCATTATTAAACTTTACACTCGTTGATTTCAAAATTTCTTCATATTATGTTTTGCTATTTTTATTATAGTACCTTATTTGTGGAATGGACCTTGACCTACTAAACAATATATATAACTTGGCAAGTTAAAAGGTTGTGTATCTCTTTGACTTTATAGAATCATTTTATTCATTAGTTGCGTAATTGTTGTTTCATTACGCCTACATATCATATTACTTGATTTGACTTTGATTTACCTGTTGTTTCAGGAAAGAAAACTAGCATTGAGATCGTTTAAGAGTGGAAACGCACTGATTTTGGTTGCAATAGATGTGGCAGCTCGTGGTCTTAATATTCCTTACTTTGCTGTCGTTATCAACTTTGATCCCCCAATTATATTGATGATTATGTATACCGGATTAGACGTATAGGTTGTGCTAGGAAAACAGGATTCACTACCATTTTCTTTAAAAAAGAACAATTCATCACTAACAAAGTTGTTAGCTGATTTGATCTACGAAGCCAGTCGGAAGGTACCCATTAGCTGATTCAGTTTGCAAGTCGAGCTCCATATGAAGGTGAAAGTAGGCGTGGTGGTGGGCATTTTCGTAGTCGTGATTTTAGAATAGATAACTCTTATAATCAGAATGGGAGAAGCACATATTAGTATGTGGTAGTGGTAAAATAATGACAACTATAGTAGTAGATGATATGATTCAAGGGTGACCAGAAATTATTTTGTTTCGAGGTATATAAATTTTTCACTCGAATTTGAGGATTTTGGTGTTTTGGATAAAGCAAAACAAATTGTAGACTATATTTGAAAATGCGCATATCAGTGGGATGACTTTATTTCGGGAGATGGATTTTTTTTGTAGTATATATTTGACTTTAGTTAAATATTGGTGTGTATCTTTACTGTGTTATATCTCAAGAAAACGACGCAAGTGTCGTTACTGGACTTATAAGCATACATGAGAACAGCACAAGTGAAGCTTTTATTAGAACAAAATACAAGTGTCGTTGCTGAACTTATAAATGCCTATGAGAACGGAACAAGTGTCGTTACAAGACTTATAAGCTTCCATGAAAAACGGTAAAAGTGTCGTTACTAAGTTGAAAATGTCCATGACAACGCCACAGTCGTTACTGACTTATAAACGTCCATTATAATCTGCCATTTCAATCATTCTTTATCACACATTTTTATGTTTTACATACGTTAGGGGGTTCATTACTTGAGGCCTTTGCATTGAAAACAAATCAAAATATATGAGAAAATAATAGAATAACACAAGTGTCGTTGGTGAGATGAAATTGACCCTTGTATCGTTATGTTAGTAAACACTTGTATAAGCATTCACGTCTTAATTGTGATCCATGAACCAATAAGTTGAACTCATTTATGTTGTAAGATGGACATGACATGTAGAAAAATTGAGAAATATGTTCGTTATGATATTTTAATGAATCAGTAGAGTGACTTGTGTGCTTTCACCAACTCGATAACATATAATTTATATAATTTCAACTATTCTTTATCACACGATCAACATTTATGTCTTACATACATTAGAGGGGTACATTTCTATTCAGTTTGTTTTTCTTCACATGAGAACGACATAGGTGTTGTTATGTTTGTAAATATAAGTGTCCATGAGAAAAACACTTGTGTCGTTACTGAGATGAAAACGCTCATGAGAACATCACAACTGTTGTTATGTTTGTAAATATTTGTCCATGAGAGCGACACTTGTGCTGTTATTGAGATGAAAATGTCTATATCGTATAATCTTTGTCAATTCAACCATTCTTCATCACATGATCAACCTTTCTGTATTTCTTAAGTTAGGGGGTCTAATACTTGAGCTTGTTGAGTTGAAAATAAGCGAAATATAGGATAAATCAGTCGAATGGCACAAGAGTCATTATTGAAATAAAAATTATTCTCGTGACGTACTTTCTATAAACACAAGTATAAGCATCCATGACCCGTCGATGCCCTGAGAACCAATAAGTTGAACTTATTTCAGTTGCAAGATAACATGCCGTTTGCAAAAGTTGAGAGATGTGCTTTAATTATATTTTATAACGAATTAATACAATGACTTGTGATTTCATCAACTCGATATCATATAATCTCTATCAAATCAATCGTTATTTGTCATATGATCGATATTTTTGATATTCTTAAGTTAGAGGGTCCAATATTTGAGGTTATTGAGTTAGAAAAACAGCAAAATATTGGAGAAATCAACATAAAGGTAAAAAGTGTAGTTACTCTTATTAAAACGACACTTTTGTATTTCTGTATATAAAAACAAGTATAAACAACCATGACCTGTTTGTGCTCAAATAATCAAAAAGTTGAACTCATTTACATTGCAAGATGGACATGTCATTTACAAAGATATCATATAATTTATGTCAATTCAACCGTTCTTTGTCACATGATTAGTCTTTCTGATTTTCTTAAGTTATGAAATCCGCATTGAAAAAGAAATAAAATATTGGAGAAATCAATAGAATGACACATGTGCCTTTCTGTCTATAAACACGAGTTTAAGCAGTCAAGACTCATTCATGCCCCGAGAACTAATAAGTTGAACTCATTTCAATTGCAAGATGAACATGTCGTTTACTAAAGTTGATAGATGTACTCATTAATTATACTTTCTAACGAATCAATGCAATCACTTGTGATTTCACCAATTCGATATCATATAATCTATATCAATTCAATCGTTCTTTGTCACATGATCACTCTTTCTAACTTTCTTAATTTAGGGGATCCAATGTTTGAGGTTGTTGCATTGGAATAAAAGGAAAATATTGGAGAAATCAACAGAAAAACACTAGTGCTGTTAAATGACACTTGTATTGTTCTGTTTTTAAACACAAGGCTATGTAGCCACAATCCATCCATGCTTCAAGAACCAATAATTTGAACTCATTTCAGTTGCAAGTTGAACATGCCGTTTACAAAAGTTGAGAGACGTGCTCATTAATTATATCTTCTAACGAATCAATACGATGACTTATTATTTCCCATGTTCTAAAAAACGTGAAAACGCGCCGCCTAGGCGCGACGCGCGTCCAAAACGCGGCGAATTCGGGAATGCGTGGGAAAATGCGTTTTCCATCNAAAATGAGTTTTCCATCTAAAAGGCGCGCCTAATGCGAGCCTATGCGCGCATTACCCTGCCTAATCCTCTTTTTTTTTTTAATGATATATTAAAAAATCTATTTTTTTTATATAAAAATATATTTAATGCCTTAAAAATACGAAACGCATTATGGCGCTTATTCTTCGCATTGACACGCTTAAACTTGTAATTCTTGATTCTCGGCTTCGACGCTTCGCAACGCATTACACATTTTAGAACACTGGTTATTTCACCAACTCGATAGCACATAATCTATGTCAAATCTATCGTTCGTTGTTACACGATCAACATTTATGATATTCTTAAGTTAAGAGATCCAATGCTTGAAGTCGTTTTGTTGGAAAAGAAACAAAATATTGGGAAAATCAAGAGAACGAGTATAAGTAGCTACGACTTGGTCGTGCCCTGATAATTAGTAAGTTGAACTCATTTAAGTTACGAGATGGACGCACTGTTTACAAAATTTGAGATATATGTTTATTCTTAATCAACGTGAAAACAACAAAAGGCACAAATGTCGTTACATGTGTAAACACTAAACACGATATGAATAAATGATACTATGTAGATTTCGAAATTAATTTCTATTAAATCAATAATATGTAATTTTTGAACATTATTACTATATTTTATTGATAAAATAGTCAAAATGACGTTAGAGTTTTATTATAACAAAAAACAGTACGTCCACATTTTCTTCACTATTCTCACATAACTCCATATTCATTTGCATTCTTCTGTCTTCTTAAACTCAATACGATATAATACCTTTACCCATATTATTTCTACCAAATCTATAGATGTAAATAAAATAAAAAAAGTTAAATAGTTTACTTAAGTATATATCAAAGTAATATGAAATATCATATTTAAATTATCAAAATAACATATCAATAATGGATAGAATATAACAAATAGTTGTGATTTCGTTTTACATGGAAGATGACGACTGTAGTGCCGTTCTACACTACAGACAATGACTGAAGTGCCGTTATCATTCAATAGTTGCAAACAACACAAAAATTCACCAAATACGGAAATAAAACCAACTAAAATATCATTTCATAATATATTTAACAATAAAAATATCAATGTACGTGAAATTTCTAAACGTACATTTTTTGTCCAAATATAGTAGATATTTCAATGTAAATAATATAGAAACTATTTTTTTGTTCAAATGTTAAAAAAAAAAATACTCAAATTAGGTGAAAAATATAATGAATAACAAGATTTTAGGATAGCACAATAATAGGAGAACATGGGCGATTCAATTTTGGAGTTGAATCGAGGAATTTAATTGAATTGATAGGGTTGTTAGGGTCTTTTTCAATGGTGAATGTATTTTGGACATTTGAAATTATTTATTGTTTTTTATAATTGATGATCATTTGACCAAAAAACATTAAAAGAAGGTTATTTTACCAAATATATAAAGGGTAATTATATTACCATCACAAAATTTATTAAGAGTACCATAATTTTTTATTTTTTTTTCTTATTTACTTAAATAACCTTAAGTAAAATTACATAATTTGAGTTAATATATTTTTAATTATTCACATCACATTATAATCACACCACTACACATAAGCCTAATTTCATCTTCTTCTTTTCTGTAATTGCGAGTCTTTAGCCGGCATACAACATGTAAGAGTTTGGATGGAAATTACTTTTCTATGCACATCCGACAAATCATTAAGTGGTTTATAATTTTTCATTGGCAATCCATTATAAACATTTTTCATGTGCAAAGAATTAAACAAATCATTCTTTAAGAATTTTTACCTTTTTTTTCCAATTCGATGCAATTCCTTACTGGAAACATGGAGAGCAGTAACTTTATTGCAAGACAACCCCAAAAAATGGAAAAATTAACCCAAATCATTACATAATAACAATAACAGTCCAAAGGAGATTGAATTTACAAAAATTTCACACAAGAATTTCAATTTTTGTGGCGGAAAAGGAAAACATTTGTTATATAGCAAGACACCCAAAAACCAATGCAAGATTGTGTTTTACAATCACTTTATATCAAAACTGATTGTAAAAATACATTTGATTTATAAAATTACATGATTACCTATCAAAAAAATATAGAACAGTAGCAGCTCAAAAGAAATTGAATTTCCAGATTTACCCCGAAGATGTTCAATTTCTGGTGAGGAAAAATGAAAAATATTTGTTAGGCCAACAAGCAAGAAAAAAAAAAAGAAAGTAAAAAATCTTAGGTCCAAATTATTAAGAGTATAAAACAAATACGATCTAATGAAGTGGAAAGAAAAAAAAAATACACGGTGGAAAATCTTTTTCCACGAATACGATCTAATGAAGTGAAAAGAAAAAAAAAATACACGGTGGAAATTTTTTTTTGATAAAGATGAAGTTTAGTTGTAGTATATTTATTAAAACTCAGAATTCTTCTTTTTTATTAATTTTATTAAATTAGGTACATATTTGTAAATTTTTTGTGGCGTATTTATCAAAACTATGTTTTAATTGTAGTGTGAATATAATGTGGTTTAATAAGTAAATTTTGTGGTGGTAATATAATTATCCATATATAATTTGACTGTATTATTTAACAAACTCTCCCAAATGTAGAAAACTCGGAGATAAGTGTAATTATATTCTTAATTGTGAGGATTCTACAATTATTCCATTTTATAGAGGACGTAAGTGTAATTTATCCAAAATCGAAAGCATTCTTCCCCCGTCTATTAAAAAATATTACTATATAATGCCACTTTACGAAATACTTTTCTCAATTATACTAGGGCACAGCTTATCAACAATCCCTGTCAAATTCCACTCCCCCCCTTCTACCCCGTTCTTCACTCCCTGAGAAGGTATTTTTTGCTCATTTTTAATTCAATTCTCACAATCTAATTATAATTACTTGTTCATTCATACGCAATTACATTGCATGCATCGTATTTGTTGTGTCTATGTATGCATATCTAGTTGAGTTTTTTTACTGGTAATGTGGGGTTGGGATGAGGTGGGGTGGGGGTGGGATTTACGGTCCGTTGAACATATCTATTGCTAAAGGTGTGAAATTTGTACGCGTGTTGTTACTTCAATTTTGTTTAATTGGAGATTTTTTATTATTTTTTTTATGAAAGAAGTAAATGCTTAATCGCAGATGCAGTTATTGAGATACAAGAAATACACAGAAAAAGTGAATTTTTTTCTTAAACAGAACATAAAAGGAAACTGGATAATGGATGAACGCTCATTTAATGGATTTATTTCCCAATATGACAATAAATGCAGTATATGCTGTTGTTTGGGAAATAGTAGTCCACATTGAGCTTGACTATCCGGGAAAGAAATCCATTTTCCTAACATTAAAGAAGTTGAAGTAGAGATTTATTAGCTCGTTGATTTGCATTTAGATAATGAAATTGGACCTAGTTGTGGGTTTATGTAGGAGTGACAAAAAGGAGATAGAATATTTATGTTGGACAAAATTCTCACAAGTAATGACAATTCAAAATCATACTCGTTTTTAGTTATTTATATCTAGTCTTGATTTCGTAGGGCTTCATCTTGAATTCATTAAATGTTCTAAAAACAAAGTGCTTGAATTTATATGTGTAATGATGGGGGTACACTGAAGCTTTTAAAAAATTGCAAAAGGAACAAAGGCCATAATTCAAGTGCCCAATTACTCACTGTTTATGGCCAAGGTGAGAGTGATTTGATTGGGATTTCTTGATTTTATTGTTATACTAGGTTTTAATTTGTGTTCTTTCAGCTTTATCTTCACTTTGTTATGTATTTCAGTATACCTAATTCTTGGGAATTTTTCGCCTCAGACGTAATAGGCTGTTAGATAGGTATGTGATCTGTGATCGCGGGCTACTTTTTTGTGATTTGGGGAATATCAGTTACAAGTGCCTTGGGTGCCATGATGGCTTGATTTCCCTAGTTTGTCACTCGCTTTACCAGCACGTCTGAGAGCAGTGATGTTGCAGTATTTCCATTATTTTACACACATAAGTTATTTCATCATGCCTGAGGTCCTACCTGTGATTATCCTGCTTTTTTAAAATCTATTTCCTTGGCTTCTTAATTTTCTGCAGATACATAGCCTTTGAAATAAAAATAAATAAATTAATGTGCTCTAATTAAAGCTATATCTACCCGAGTGAGACTCGGTTCATGTCAGTCTCTTTGCTTCATGCTGGATCTTTGAGGACCCTGCTTGACATATATATAGCTATGATTTTAGTACTACAGCTAAAACCTTTATAAGCTCTTGAAATTGGAATATGAATGCTCGATGGGATACACCTTCTAAGTGGTTTGTCCAGTCTGTTATGATTACTATTTATAGACATTGGGATTAATTGTGGGAAAATTTTGTTTTGATCGTTAGTGATGAATTGTGTGAAGTAACTCGTGGTGAGATTTTATGAAGTGAAGTATTATAATTTATGCCTATAGTTCAATCTTCTTCCTGAATAATTTAAATATTAACAAGCTTTTCCAAGTTAGCTTAAAATTTTTATGATATCTCACTTGTCTCTTATGCATGTGCACGTGCACACATTCACATTCTTACATTTACTTTCTTGACTTAGAGTTTGATTATTTTATACGAACCTTTATATGTCTAAATAGGTATTCAGTCTGATAATGCAAAAGACACTTCAGCATTCTATTAGTCAGTAATAGAATTGATAAAAGACATGGGAAAATTGGATGATACAGGTAACATTGTTTACTTTCTCTAGGTTTTATTTTCTGTTCCTTAAATCTTACTTTTCATGAAATGAGTATTGGATAAGTTGGTAGAACGTGTGGGTCCTACGAAATGTGTAGTTAAAATTAAATTTTGACTTTGAAAAGTAAATCGTAAGCAAATGGAACCCAAGGAAAGGCGATGTATTTCTCTTGGTTTTTCCATTTTATTTTTACAGAATACGAACCATGCAATTTTGTAATTTACTTAATAGTTTTTCCTAATGCTAGGAGTGTTTAAGAAGGCTGAGTTTTCTCTGTTTAAATTGTTGATAATCACGGTTGAAAAGCTGTGTAGCCTCTGTTATTTTTTGACACTTTTTCTACCATAATTTTAAGTGTTACTCTAGTTCAAACTCATCAGACATGACTCTAATAAAATCTGCAGCTATTTATGAGCTCTGCATTTGATTTATAATAGAAAGGAAAGCAGGAGAAAACAAAACACAGCCGATAACTCATAAGCAAATTGGTTGAATGCCTTAATGTATGGTGCATCCCGGTTATCTCCAATATTTTGTTTGATATTGTTTTAATTTTTTATTAGTTAATTTGCCTATTATTTTTTTTTATTTTTTTGAGGATATTTTATTCTCATTTTTGTCCCATTTTCTTATTGACTAGTGTGGCAAACGTGCGTTGCACGTTAATTGGATGATGTTAAAAATAAGTGTGTAACAAAATAAAGAATAAGCCTCGATATACAAATTATATTTACAAACTCGGCGTACAAATAGAAACCAATTTGAGGATTGTTATGAGATGCAATCCATTCACATGATTTATGTTTAAAAATATATATTGTATCTTGATTCAACTTTGAGGATAGGAAAAATTGTATTTGGCATGCAACATTAATCTAATCTGACAAAATTGTTCACTAATTCAAAAAGGAAAATGACATTAACTATTAGCTCACCAGTGAATATGTATTTGAGAAGAGGAAAAAATGTATTTTAGAAACTTTTGCAGATTGAGTAAAAAACCAAAATAGATGAATCGCAGCTCAAAGGACGATTAACCATAATCAGTACAATAACATTGAAGCACACGTAAGGGTTCGGGGGCAATGCCCCCGAAGATGATCGACCTGACTGGTCAGGTCTAGGGGGCAGCGTCCCTCGTGGGGGTTCGGGGGCAACGCCCCCGACGGTGATCGATGTGACCGGTCAGGTCGCGGGGGTCGAGGGGCAGCGCCCCTCGTGGGTGTTCGAGGCAACGCCCCCGAAAGGAATTCTGATTTTCGTGTATATAATAAAGTTGTATTTTTTAGTGGGGTTAGAAAATGTAATAAGATGCTTTATCATTTTTACATATTGAAATATAGAAAAAGAAAATTTATATACATCTTATTACAATATATTTTTCGCAACAGTTTACAGTTGTAATATAATCCAATTAAAAAAAGAAAGAAAAAAATTCTGCACACCCTCTTCAATTGATCCATCTTATTTTTTCTCTCTTCACAACCTAATTGTTTTGGGACAATTTTAGAAAATATATCTCATTGTTAAAAAATAAAAAAATTGTCTCAGTGTCACATGACGGAGACAGTGTGTCTCTGCGAGACACGGAGACACAAGGCCATGTCTCCGTGCATGCGCATGGAGACATAGCTAATCTCCGCGCGCGCGCATGAAGACATTGCCTTGTGCTGTGTACACATTCTCATGTCTCCATGCCGCGTACGGAGACACGACGTTGTGCTGTGTCTTCGTGCGCACGCACAGAGGCACGGCCTTGTGCTGTGTGTCAGTGCCGTGCACGGAGACACATTCTCGTGTCTCCGTGCCGCGTACAGAGACACGACGTTGTGTTGTGTCTCCGTGCGTGCACACAGAAACACGGTCTTGTGTCAAGTCATTGTCACTTTATTCTTACGGAGGCACATTCTCGTGTCTCCGTGCACGGCACGAAGACACAAGTTTTTGTCACTTTAGGGGCACCCCAACTTTGCCCAATCAGTACATAACGCCCTTCACTAATTGAAACAATCAAAACTTTAGTCAGCTACAATTTTGATAAACCAAAGAAAGTCAACTTAAAGTAGAGATAAAAAGCAAAAAAAATTGACAAGAAAAAAAATTGAAACAACGTGAAAACTAAATACAAACTTGAATAAATAGGTACCAGTGGAATATATATTAAAATTAATTACCATTGCAACCTATGGTGACTTTAACTGCCTCAGCAAGCTCTTCAACAACCTTGAGCATCATAGCTTTGGCCTCCACTCCAAATCTAATGTACACAGTTTCTACTCCAGCCTAAATACTACCAATTTGCATTAAACCCACCAAAACACTATATTAGCACCCATCAACTACAGAATTTATTATGTGATGTGAAAACATTAAATTTATGCATAGAAGGTCAAACATGCCCGTAAAATTCAATTCCAACAATAACCAATTAAATTAACTAAAAATCCAAAAATACATAGTTAAATTGAGTTTAAGAATGACAATAGACATGGTAATAGAAACTACCTTCACAGCAAAAAATTGAACTATTGAAAAAATTAGCATTAAAATACCTTATTTCAATCAGCAATCTCTTTCTCAATCTCAGACGCCAGATGACGAAAACTTCGAATCCTACAAAAACAAGGTTGGTTGATAAAATTACAGGAGAGAAAAATAGAGAGAAAAAATGGAAACATAACAACCCATAACCCGAAAATATAATTCAAACATGAGGTGTATTCCATGGGAGGTTGCGTGGGAAAATGGAGGAGAAGTGGCTGATTGCATGAGATATGGAGAAGTAGAAGGCGGTGCGGGAATTTTTGACGAATTTCAGGATATTTTTTTCTAAAAAATGAGGATTTTTGACGACAATGGGAAATTGTGACACGTGTGTGAGATTTGTTTAGCCTCTTTTAATATATAGTGAAAGAGACAGAGTCTCATAAAGCATGAATTTGGTTTATCGCTACAGGTTAGTTCATGAGAATGAAGTAAAAGCGTTTTAGAGCTTGATTGCCGAGTGTTAGGTGAGATACGTGCTTACTGAGACCTTAATATAAGATATACATGATTGGAGCATAGAGATCTAGAGTTCAAAAGAATTTACCGTATTGGGATTCTTTTATGGACTTCCATAAAAGTGGGAAAGAGCTAATTGGAAATCTCTTGTTGAAATATTTGACGATATAATCATGCACTCTATGCATCAGGCAAACATTAGTGTAAGCGTTGCACTAATATTTGGATTTAATAATCTCATATTTACCTAAGAGTACAGTTTATAGTTAAGATAATTATCTTGCTTCCTGCATGGGCTTTAGTTTCTCGCATAAAGATGAAATAATTGTCTTAGTATGTAGAATATTATATGTAATAAATTGCACATTATGTAGAATTGATTCTGAGAAGTTGTTCTATGGGTTTCCAGCTTAGTGTTGTATGAGATTAAGAATAGAGGTAATGTTTTGTTTGTTGATAATTCACTGTATTTCTTTGATGTTGGATTTTGGGCATGTGCTATTGAATGGGCAAAAGTTTACCTTTTGCTAGCAAAATAGGATGATACATGGTTTTGATTAATGCTAAACACATTTACTTCTTTTTGCAATCATAATTTCTGACTTAATAAACAAATCGGGATACATTTGTCAGGGAGCCCAAGTGACACAAAAAATGAGGAAGCCTGTCGCTCTGGGGTAGAAGAACATGTGCATTCTTGTGATCAGGTGGGAACTTCAGATGCAATGAAGGACAGACTGTATAATACAAGATATTTCATTATCAAGAGCTTGAACCATCAAAATATTCAATTGTCTATCAAGAAGGGACTTTGGGCTACTCAAGTCATGAATGAACCTATTCTTGAAGAAGCATTCCAAGTAAGATTTCATTTCATTTCTTATTTATAATTTTAGTGTATAATTTGGAACAATGTTCTTAATGTCTATAAATGATAGGGAAGCATGTTTGTTTGATGCAGAATTCTGGAAAGGTAATTCTTATATTTAGCGTCAACATGAGTGGCTTCTTCCAAGGGTATGCTCAAATGATGTCTTCAGTTGGTTGGGGGCGGGATGACATTTGGAGTCAAGGGAGTGGTAAAAGTAAACCTTGGGGGCGAAGTTTTAAAGTCAAATGGCTACAGTTGCATGATTTGCCTTTTCAAAAGACTCTTCATCTAAAAAATCCTTGGAACGATTACAAGCCTGTCAAAATTAGTAGAGACTGTCAGGTACCAGTTATTCTAGTATTTATAGTACCCTTTTTACACTTCTTTTTCTATTAACAGTTTATATTGTATGTTTCTTTGCTAATCGGAAGCCTTTTGTGTATATTACTTGTACATGAATATATGACTTGCACATCTTTGTCAGGAGTTACCTCAGGATATTGGTGAAGCTCTTTGTGATCTCCTTGATGGGGGAGATGATGTGGATCTCAATTTGAAAAGGTTTCTTTTTCTTTTCTTATCAGATTTGAAATATGATTCCTCTGGGAGTCCCTTGTTAATGAATCTTTTAAATGTATGCAGGGAGGAAGTGAGGGACGATCCTTCTTCAAAATGGCTCTACAAAGAGCAGTTACATGCTTTTCAAGATGAAGACTTCAACGTCCCTCCGATGCTTGTGGATTCGATGCTATATCCCTCTTCATTATATGAACATCAAGCTGAAGCAGGTAGATTTCATTTAGAACACCTGAGAACAGGCGGCATATATCTTCCCAAGAATCCATCAGTTGCTACTGGGGCATCCAAAATTAAACAGTCAAAATATTCTCGAACAAATGGAAGTTTTGCTAGTATAAAGGATGGATCTCCTCGATTCAATGGCTGGGGCTTGTCAGCGGAGAGAAGCCCCATTGCTAGCACTCTGACTGAAGATGATATTCTGGAAATGGTATATGTGTCTCATCTTAAGCTTTATAAGCTCGATTATATTTGATGCATGAGACACTAAAAAGTTACTTGAACTTTGATTATGCTCTTGTTTCGGCTCCATATTAACTCGATTTTGAGAGAGAACGTATTTTGGAATAGTGATTTTTGGAGAATGTGTAATATTATTTTATGAAAGAATGTGTGCTTGAAAATGAGTTTTGAATAAGTGTATTTTGGAACAAATGGAGCCCAAACTGGGACTATATGTCACCTACTGAATTCTTGCCTATGGTTTGTAAACAGATGATTTTATACGTAAGATCACGTTTTTAACCAAATATTTTTGAGCTTGTTTCCTGTATGATTATCTGATCTGTTTTGAATTCTTATCCTATGGATTAGGTTTACTCAGAGTGCCTGCAGTCTCGCTAATGATTTTAAATTGTTTGTGTATTTATGTTCTTTGTTTATCCTTTTCCCACTCCACAGTTTACAGTGGTGTAAATGTGAAAAAGAAACTGTTCCTTCACCCCTTTGTCAATCTATTGTTTAACTGGAGAGACAACAAACGGTTTTGTGGTTTAAAATTAGGGACTTAACCCTCCTATGATTTGGGTTGCATCTACTGTCAACATTTTCCTTTCAAAGCGATGACCTATCATGTGAATTATGAAGTTGAATTGTTGATGACGGTATAACATGAGCAGAGAAGGAGACCTCATCATTTGTTTCTTGCCCTCAACTCTTAATTCAACAGAAGGCCTAACATCTTTTGCCTTTGGTCTGATTTGTCCTTTGAAGAGAGCGATTAAATAGTTTATTTGCAATCACACATTTTATTGACTGATTGATAGTAGTTTATAGATGACCATTCAAATGGCTAGTATTTCAGTGACAAACACGCTATGTCAGCACATTGATTATTAAGCGCTTTTTATTCCGGGTTGCATAGTATGATGCGTATGGAATGAAAGGAACAGCCGCTGTTTTGAAGACAAGACAAGATCAAAAGAGCAGTTCAGAGAATTATTTTATCTAACCTTGTATAGTTGGTTCAATATAGCATCTTCTAATCATATAGAAGAGTTGCCTAATTTCATGTCGTTTATGTGTTATCTAAACTGATAATACATTCCCCATGTATTATCTTTTGATGAATAAAATTTTCAGATTACTTATCAAAAAAAAAAAATTCATTAATAAAAATTAAAGGTTAACCTTGCTGCTTTCAAATATACAACCCTGCCGCTTTCATATATTTGACCTTTAATTTTCTATTAATTGTCTAACTTTAACCTTTAATTAGGTGTTTTCTCTCTTATATGTATGTGCATATACTATTTGGGACAATTGCTAATATTTGTTTTTTATATTAAGTTTTTTAATGTTTTTTAATTTAATGTGTAATACATTGCATGAACAATCTGGTGATAGTATTAATGAGTACAAGGAAATGACAAAGTATAGGGAAGATGTACGGGAAAATATGAAAAATAGATGTCGGAAGAGAGCAATGAACTACTAAAACTTATGGTTGAGGCTGTCACTTGTGGATGGCGTGATGCAATGATGTGTTGATCAAGATAACTGTAGAAAATCATATGCTTCCCTATCTTTATGAAAAGATTGGAATTGAAAAGACTTATGCCCGATATAAAAGCAGCATGAAATGATTCAAAAAACAGTACAATGACAGGCACATTTACAATGACACAATGTGTGTGCCCTCTGTCGCATACAAATGGAACTGTTATGTAGAGAGTGAGGGGTCAAGGCTGAGTAAGTCCAACTATTTCATCTAAGAACATTACAACTTACAAATGGGTATCAGTAACATAGATCACCTTAAATGAGAGGAAAATTGAGGAGTTCTCTAGCTAAGAAAAACTATTCGGATAACCTATGAGATGGTGGTATATAATATGACCAGTAAAATGGAGGCAAAATTTTATAAGATATGCTAAATTCTAATTCTTCCGCACAGGATTCTGACATTTTGATTTATTAATATATCTTCCATTCTTGGTGTATGAGCATTAAGGAGATCAAGAGTTGCATATTGTCATATAGATTAAGCCCCTTTTTGACAACCATTATTTGAAAACTTTTTTTTCTGCGTATTGCATATTTATTTTCAACCACACATTCACACAAAAAAATATTTTGCATGTAAACCCAAAATTTTTTCTGACTTTTTAACCATACATTCTTCTAAAAAACACTATTCAAAACTTTATTTTCTCCAATTAATGGTTGTCAAACAGGGGCTAATAGCTATATGCATGTAATCATATTCCCTCCTTTCGTGGCTCTGACCCCCAAAACTATTGTTAATTCCATCCTTATGTTGGGCATGGCACTAATAGATGCATAGCTCTTATGCATTTTATTCTTCTATTTTTTTGTGACAATTCCTTCTGCTTTCAAAAATATACAAGTTTATGAGAATTTTATGTAGAGGCGGTTGGATAGAGTAAAGTAGAAATGGTTTACTATTTTGAAGCCCAATATAAAATATAAGAGAGAAATCTAGAATATGTATTGTTTTTATAAGCATGACAGTACAGGAGCAAGTTTCACGGCTTTTGGTATGAGACATCTTGATATTGCACCCTTTTATAAATTTGATGTGGTTTGCACTATCAGAATTTATTATTAAGTACATTACCCCGTTGATCAATTTGGTGCTGTCATAGAGACATTCGTTCTTTGGTTAGTATGAAACTTTGATGAGTCAATTTCTGAACCATGTAAGATAGTAATGAATTTGGAGGACTTTCTTCCCATCAAAATGTTTTTGAGGAGGAAACACTACATAGTCTTGTATCAGGTGCTATTGGGGATGCATTCCTTGAGAAGCTCGAGAAAGTGTAGATAGGGGATACTCTTAGATAGGCTGAAATTAATGTACACTTAAGGTTGTGTTTTCATTGCTGCTTGATATGGTCTTATATGGTCTTGCTTAATTTGATTTCTAAGATTGAATGGTGTGGTCAGATAGAGATACATTTTTGATGTTTTCATAGGTTTGGCTATTATGTCAATATTTGATGTGCTCTGAACAGAGTTGTCCATTTGATATATGTTTTCTTTGTTGAATAACCTCCTGTTTCTTTACTTGTGAATTTGTATTCACAGTATCACCTGCACATGACTGTTTTCAGAACAAATAAATTACTGCTATTGCAAGTTTTTAGTTGTCTCGTTATAATAATGAAGTATTCTTGCAACATATCTGAAATAATTTTCTTAAGGTGAGAAAATAGGAACATTTTGGCATTTTCATTTTCTTTTATCCTTTGTATCCAAGATGCTATTGGAATGTTACTGATTTCTTAGGAATTTGTGTAGCAATCTAAAATTGCTATTGCTTCTTGTTCCATTTTCTTTAATCCCTCTGCATTCAAAACTTTTAAGCTCATGACAGTATGCTTAAATTTTATGCTTTTATCTAGACGAGTCCAATCAATACTTGCTGTACATTTTAATCCAAATTGATCATGAAAACTTAAATCAGCCGGAGTATTGTTCTCAATAATTTTTTTAAATATCACCTACGGAAGACCAAAAACATTCTGCTCCTTTTTTTATGTCTTCAAATCTTAGTTAATCAGGTGAATTAGATAAGGTCCAGAAAATTTGAAAATTAAACAAGATAAGATCCTAGGATTTAATTCTTCAAAAAACTATTGGATCGGACACTGATATTTTAAATGCACCTCAATTTATGGTCTATGGGTAGGATAGCAGACAAGCTTGAGATTTTCCGTGTCCTATTTGCTATCGATTTTTCCACTCCTGTTGCCCGCAAGAGACTGGTGTGATCTTTAGAATTCAAGTTTGAATGCGTGCTCATTGTTGTAGGACAGGAATGATAACAGTTTTTTGAATGTTAGTTGGATTATTCGCAACAGTATAACAGTTTTTTATGAAGTGAATCAAGTTACATACAAAATCAAGCTAGTGTCACTGGTAGTAGTATAAAATAAATCCTGATATTGATATACTAGCATATATGCATAATTGTTTAAATAGTATATAGTCTTTCTTTAGTGTAATTTCTCTGATTCTGAAGACTCCTTGATTTTTGATAAAAATATGGTGTTTAATTGAATATTAATTTCTTGGAGATAATATTAGTCTTTTACATATATTTTCTGGGAATATTCTGTCTTCAAAGATGTTGATGCTTTGCTTTTGTTTGATCCCCATTTTTTTCAAAATGCATTTTTCTTTATCTTCTTTTCAACTACACATTCTTCAATAAAATAATATTACATGCAATCCCAAAATTATTCCTTCACTTTTAATCACACATTCTCCATCAATCTACTATTTCAAAATGCATTTTACACCAAAAATGGGGCTCAAACGGGCCCTTTGTGAATTTGGGTAATATTGAATTCTTTTGTCGCTTTGATCGTGGAAATTGGTGCATAGCATTCTGTGGACTGAATTTAAGCCCCTGTTTGACAACCATTAAAAAGAGTTTTTTTGGGGAAAATGAGTTTTGGAATAGTGATTTTTTGGAGAATGTGTTGTTAAAAAGTACGAGAAAGTTATGCACTCACATGCAATATATTTTATTATGAGAATTTGTGGTTGAAAATGAGTTTGAGAAAAAAGGGTTTTGGAAAAATGGTTGTCAAAAAGGGGCTAAATGTTATCCGGATCATGTTTCTTGCGGTTTCCCTCTTTTATATATATGTATTTTACTTCTTGAATTGAAAATTTATTATTAAAGTTAGAGACTTGGACCTTATGGTTTTTGCTCCTGGTGATTACTTTATTTTACTCATGATGCAGACATATGAAGAGTACCTGGAAGCTCATAGTAGAGGGAACAGAAGACTCGATCCCCCTGTTAGTATGCTTCTTTCTCTGTGTGCTACTCAATTAGTTATTCCATGTTTTAGATGAAGACTAAATTGTTTTAGCTTTTCTTAACTTTTAAGGTTCTTTTACTTGAACCTCTGTATTAGAAATTACAATGGCTGCTTTTGTATCTGCTTTCAAGTTCATCCCAGAGGGGCAATTGGCATTATTATGTAGGGTATATCAGTTCGCTAACTGACCTTTGTGTGGTTAGGCTCCAACTTTTAACATTAATAGCTTTATTTGTTTGCCACTGAACTTATTCACAAGTTTAGGCATTTTTGACTTCTGAAGTTGCAATAGCCCCATATGATCGTGCAAGTAGAACTGTTTCTTAATGAGTGCACCCCATCAAGCTTGTTTCACATATATTAGTGGTGTGATGGGGAAGGGATTGTGTGATCTTTCTTACTATAGGATGTTAGGCTAAGCGTAAAAGTAACTTTTTTTTTGACAAGTATGGATAGACAAGTTATAACTTGGTTCTACTTATGTGGTGGCTTAACTTTGTGCAGAAAAGAGAAAAGAATACAAGGAAACTGATAGTTGGCAATTATACTTTTACTGTTGCGGATAATATAGATGATGATAGGTACAGAATGAATGTTTCACAACATAGGTGAAATTTTTGGATATAGGAAGAGAATTAATGCATGAAGATCTCAATTGAATATCTGTGAATTCATTAACAAGTACAATGTACGCACTCTTTTCCAACTGACATTGACATTGTTTAATTTAAATCATATTTTGTTCATCTATACTGTTCAAGTTAAAGCACCCAACAAAGATTTCACACCAAATAAACTGTAGTTTGTTTGACAGGCTGCCGGAAGATCTCGAAGCTTGCAGAAGCCTTCATCTAGTAAAGAATATACTGATGATTCGTAAGTCATGTCTTGTTCCTTTCTTAGAGCATGTTTAGCTGTGCTTAATAGTTACTATTTTAGAAAGTTAAATTTTGACATACTTTCTAATATAGTAAATTTTATTAGTAGAAACCATGTTTAGCAAAATTACTAGTGTTTAACTTGCTGTTAAGCACTGCCAAACATGTACACAACACAGCACTTCAATGAAAGGACAATACGCGTTACTGGATAACTTCATTTTTCAGGCAGTCAGGCTGCAGTTCAAAGAAAAGGACTCGACATCGATGACTCGACTGATTGATTTTGCCAAGAAATTAGGCTTATATTCAGTTGCTTATAATGTACTGTGAATTACAATTGTTCCATTTCTCTTCAAAGCGGCAGTGCGCTTTGAACTCATTGTTCTTCGAACTAGAGTTAACATTACATTCATGTTGTATTTGTAGTTATATTTCATGATCCAATATGTGTTGGTCTAATTTGTGTTTCTCCATGGGTGTTAATGGATTTGTAGATTGCGTATATTTCTCCTTCACTTCAAAATATTACGGTCTGTACAGAAAACAATAGGGATATTTTTTTTATTTCCTACAGAAACTCTGTTCATTTTTCCCAATTTTTGTTGGTTTCTGTATTTATTGCAAAATACAGTTGGAAAAATTCAACACACATTCATATTTGAATTTCACTACATGTATATCAGGTGTTACATTATGAATCACATATGTTACGTGACACTTTATCATTTGTTAATGTTAATTTTTTCGTTCAATCTTTTTTTTTTTCCACATCATATTATGTAACCTCGTGTACAATTTTGATATACAAATAGCAAAATTCCTCATATTTTTGGACAGTTTTGGGATATTAGGCAAAAATAATTAATTTTGTGTATAATTCACATATATTTTGTATTTGAGATTTAGCTCATGTTTGGTGGCCTTTAATTTGAAAAAAAAATTTATACTATGAATGTCATTTTTTGGAAAATGTGTGGTTAAAAAGTAGGGAAATATTTTGAGTTTACGTGTAGAATATTTTATTGTGTAAATGTGTGGTTAAAAATGAGTATGAGAAATAAATTAAAGTAAAGAGGCTTAATCAGCATGAACTGTTTTAGAAGAATATAATTTATAAATTTTAAATTTTTACTATTGTTTTCCTATTTAACAAATACAATATTTCAACCCCTCCACGTGAGATTATTTCTTTTTAGAAAAAAGTTGTACCATTGGTCACTAGCATATTAGTGTAGCAAGAGTAAGTTGATTTTTAACAATTTTAAATGGGGTAATTATATTTATACCATAATTTCTATTAATCATATCATATTTTGATTGTAATGAATGTTCATAACTTTTGATCAATTTTGTATCTATGTTCCTATTTTTTTTGTTACATTTTTATCTTCAACCTCTTAGAAAGTTGCACATACTGTTATGATGACAACTTTGTTAAAAAATTCTTTATGAAGGTGTAAAAATAATTATTTTGCCTATCATATTTTTTTAAATAATCAAAATAAATGAAAAATATAACGTTTGACAAAATATTTACTGCTCGTTTCAACACATACTAATAGAATATTTGAACATTAATCGTCTCGTCTAATTAATTAGATGTTAACAATAAGATTGCGATGAACAAAGTTAGGGATATAAATATCAACATGAGCAAAATTTGAGGACATTCATTGCAATAAAAGTTTGGTACAAATAATATAAATTGTCATTTTAATATAATTACCCCTTTAAACTATCAAGTTTAAATATGTTTCGACGTTAATACCCTACTTTCTTCTATCAAGCAAGATGCACAAAACTAATTAGTAGAATTTTTGGCTAGAATTCGCAAATGAGGAGAAAATTTTTAGTGGGCCGATCTTATATGCAAACGTATAATAAAATCATAACATTTTAGACTTTGTGCTATTCCAATTAGTCACCTTGACATTTGAGATGGTGCGAGAAATAAACGAAATGTGTGGGTGAATTCCACTTACATGTTGAGATGTTGTGATTGAAATGATTTGAAATTTGAGTTATGGCATATTCAAGTGAACAATCTACGTGTGCATGTACAACCGTTCTACCCAAACCTTTCTTGTCAACAAGGACTATGAATATTAAAAAAAAAATGAAAAGTCAACGTGCTGTCAAGAAATAAAGTTTGAGGATAAAAGTGTAAAATGAGCCACTATACCAAACTAACCCAAAAACAAAGCCCATGTTGGTCCGATCAAATCTCACCGAGCACTATAGATTATTTTAATTTGTGGATATTCAATTCATGGTAATTAGCACGTAACGTCCCTACTTTTCACTATTATCGTGGAAAACATCATTATCTTTCATTTTTGACATTTTCACCATTAATTACATATTTGATTGCGTACAAGGTTCTTTTAATTCATTTTCATCTAATTTTTCTGTTAAGTGAAGGGTATTGTCGTCATTTTCCTATTTCTTCCCCATTTGAACTCAATTTCTCCTCTGTTTCTTTCTCCAAAAATTAATATTTAGTTTTTTTCACTAGAAATTTATGTTCTTTGGCGGGTTCTCTATAATGTTCTACTAAATCATTTAAAAACTAAGAATTTTTACAGAGCTAACTAGAAAATTTGGATACTTTAATAGCCAAAGATGATTAGAAATCAAACTCCTTATCAATTTATGGGTAAATAAATTCTATTGAACGACGCTTTCAACATACAAGAAATATAGAATAACAGAGAGAAAAGAAGTGGCAGAATTCAAATTGAACTTGAAGCTCTTGATCAACCCCAAAAACAAAAAAAAAAAAGGTTTTATTTGCTGAATCTGGAAAAAAGGCACTGCTGATTTCATCTTTCGCATGCTCTCTTTGCCGGTAGCTTTTGTTATTAAGCTTGTTGGCCAACAAGAAATGGTGGGCTACTTTGGCAATGTTGAAAATTTGAACACTGCTTACATAGAGCAGGGTAGGAATAAGGACATCATTTTGAATTCGAAGGCACCAAAAACTAGTGATTCTTGTGTAAATAAATTCCTAGTGAAGAAACTAAGGGTCCGTTTGATTGTAATAGTGGAAAATGAGTGGAAAGAAAATGAATTTTAGAGAAAATAATTGCCTAAAAATGTTTTGTAGGGAATTGTTAATTAGTATGTTTGATTGGTATAATTTTTTACTCGAAAAATTTTTAAATTTTATGTTTGTTTGTCTTTGTTTTACATGAAAATTGTCAATTAAAGTGATATTTTTTCCACAATTGGTTATAAAATTTGTTTCCATTCCCAAAAAGTAAAAAAAAAAAAAAAAAAAAAAAAAAAAAATAATTAATAAAAAAAAAAAATTTTTATATGGAAATTATCCATTAAATTGATAATTCTTTCCACAATTGGTTATAAAATTTGTTTCCATTACCAAAAAAAAAAAATCCTAAAAAAATCATTTTTTTCATCAAAATTTAGTATTCGTTTGGATTTGTTTTACATGAAAATTATCCATTAAAGTGAAAAAAAAAATTTACAACTGATTATGAAATTTGTTTTCATTGAAAACAAAAAAAATTGAAGAACTTGGAATTCAATTTTCTCATCAAAAAAGTGGGAACAAGCTTTCGTCATTTGGGTGGAAAACCAGGCGTGTGGGTTCAAAGGAGGAAATCATTTGGGTGGCAAAATATTGTCCATCAAATACTATCAAAAGTGGAAAATGGAATTTTTCATGGAATTTAATGCTTATCAAACACTACCTAAATGTTAATTGTCATGGGATGAAATAGGGGAGAAAATTGGTTCAAATGGGAAAGAAATTGAAAATATGATGAGAATACCCTTAATTAACATAGAAATTGGATGAAAATGACATTTTGAATAATTAAATGTGTAATTAAAGATAAAAAAATGTTAAAAAATAGAAGGTAAGGTGTTTTTCATAAAAACCGTGAAATGCAGGGACATTACGTGCTAATTGCCCTTCAATTCATACACACACAACAAACGTGTATATATATGTGTATGTCTATGTACGTAATTGTTTGTATGATTTGCAATATATGGATTGCTATTGAAAACCATGGCGGCGTGAGAACGGCAATATCACAGCGGAAGATTTGTATCAGAGCTCAAAGAAAATGTGAGTATACTACGTCCAAGTAAATTATTTATTTTTAAGCAATGATGTTATCAATTTGAATACTTAGGGTTTATTCAGAAAATTGATGAAAAAAGTAAAAAACTTGAACTAATTTTAAGGAAATTCTTGTGGGTAAGTTTGTTCTTTAAGTATTTGATTTCGTGGCAAACATGATAATTGTATACTTTCACAAGTAGTATTCATGTTTGGAAAATAGTATGCAATGTTGAAGTTACTTTCTTTTTATGTGAGTTAGAAGAGATTTTCATTTCATTTTACTTCTGTATTGTAGGGAAAAAGTCGTGAGCCAATTTCTGATTTTATCTGGAACGTGATTAGATACAGGGAAAGCATGAAAATTGAGATAACTGAATTGATTGTGCAATCAGTTTAAAGAAATATCAAACCTAGAAGGAAATGACCATTGCGAGAAGTTCTCACATGGATCTGCTTCCAGTTGGTAACAGACTTGAAAATTAGCACGTTACGGTTTCAGCCGCTGAATGTTGAGCTAGATGAACCCCCAGGGTTTGCATTGGGTAATTAAGATTGGAGTAGAATGAGAACAATGTGCAGAAACCAAATGAGAGGCTTGGGATGCCTATGCTTCACAAAGGAAAAGCAATAGAAGAATAAAAAGAAGGAAACTTGTGCTCCCCAGATATGTCAGAGCCCAACAATTTCGATTTTGATGCACCATTGTCTTTTCTTCCATTCCGGAGCATAAGCAGTTGGGTGATCCTAGCTATGATGTTCCTGATGGGCCTCTGGGATTTGGTTGAGTAATCAAAACAGCTCCAGGTTTTTTGGTCATATATATGCCCATTACATTTGACTGAATATGTGGGTGAAGTTCTGATATGAGGCAGGATCAATTTTGGATTCCAAAAGTCTGATTGTGATTTTTGTATTGACTTTGAACTAAGGTTGGAGGCTTCGTGTTTATTGACTTATTCTGAGAATTCATCTTCTCTCCTCAAATTTATATAGAAATATTTAGATCATCTTAAAATGGTGTTTCTGGACATGCTACATTTATTTTAGTGTAGGTTTACTCCGTTATTTATTTACTCATTTGCCTTTAGATTTGTTACCTCTCTTTTTCTCTCTATGTGAGTTACAACGTGTGGACGCATGTCTCATTGATTGACATGTTAATATGATTATTCCTT